GACATAGAGAGAGTTAGTTATAACTCATTATTATCTAACTAACAAAATGTTTTTTTAAACAAAACCAAAACTTATCTTTTCATTTTAATATACATAGCACAAACAGTCCCAGCATTGCTCTCGACATTTTTCCTAAACCATCTTTGGATCTCTGGATTTGACTTTAATCCCTAACCCCTTCACCCACCAGCATCAACTACTAGTAATAATGATTTCATAATAAAAGTAACAACAATGGCTCACATTTCTATGCATTGTGTTAGTGCCTGACATTGCCTCACTTAATCTTTATAATAGTCCAGATATTATCTAGAGTATTGAGTGGAACTTCCTTGGCCAAATCTCATTCAGCTTCAAGCTTTGCCAACTGCAGAGCCTGCACCCTGCAGCATCTTTGACGCTGCAAAAAGTCCTAGCTTCAAAGTATGAGCCTTTGATTTAGCCTAACCTCCACCAGCAACTTGTTGTATTACTTCAGATAAGTCTCCCTTTTCTGGCTTGCTTTACTTATCTACAAGGCAGATATAATGATCCCTCTTTCATGAGACTGTAGTAAAGATTAATGACCAGATGGTAGATGTAAAAGCACTTTGTAAACAATGAGGCATCTTATACATTCATTCGTTCAACAAATATTTCCTGAGTGCCTGTCACCTGCTTAGCACTGTTCTTACCACTACAAACACAATAAAGGACAAAAGAGACAGATCATAACAAGCTTTGTGTGTCACTGTAAGGTCCTTAATTTTGCTCTAATAAGATAGGATGACTCTGGAGGGTTTGAGACAAATGAATGACATGATCTGACTTAGGCTTTAAGAGGATTATTCTGGGGCTATGAATAGACTGTAATGAGACCAATAGGAAGTCAATACAATAATCTAGACAGGAGATAATGGTGGCTTGATGGTGGTTATAGCAGTGGAAGTGTTGAAAGTGGCTTGATAATTATTTCAAAAATAGAGTCAACAGAATTTGTGTATGGAGGGTAGGTGGGTTTTGGGTGAAAAAAGAAGAGACGGCAATGACATCAAGGATTTTGGCCTGAGCAACTAGAAAGATGGAATTGCCATCTATTGCTAGGATGAAGACTGTTGAAAGATCAGATTAGGTAAACATCAGGAATTCATTTTGGGATATGTTAGGTTTGGGATGTCCATTACACATGCAAATGTAGCTATTGAGTAATCAACTGGATCTACAAGTCTGGAGTTCAATGATATTTGTATCCCATGGTAAGACTAGCATCACTGTGTAGGAGTCTTCGGCATATATCATAGCATTTGAAGCAATTAGACTGGCATTCCTAGAGGAGTGAGAAAACACAGGTAAGAGAGGTCAGATGCTCAGATAACAGCACCAGCCAGGATGGCTGAGGAGGAGAAGTTAGTAAGGAAAAAGAACCAAGAAAAATCATTACTAAAGAAAAATAAGAGGTGTTAAAAATCAGAAGACTTGAAAATCAGAAGACTTTGGGGCCGAAATAAAGTTGCTCCGGTCCTGGATCGTTCATTTACACACTGTGAACTTGAGCAACTTCTCTAAGGCTTGATTTTCTTTCTATAAATTGAGTATGATTATTCCCATCTTACAGAAGCTGTCTGGGTGATAAATAAAGTGATTTCGTGAACTTTATTTATTGAACTTTTGGGGCTCTCTCTTTATTCAACTGCTCACAGTTTGCAGAAATAATGCAATTTCAAGGTCTCAAAAACCCTGACACAGGCCCTAACTCGACTACGAACGGCGGCGGTCATGGGTCTTGAGATTCTGGGAGGGGTTACAGGACACCTTCTGAGGGGTGGGAGGAGAAAAAACAACAACAGGAAGAAAACGAACAAGACTGTTTCAGGTGGGCTCGGGACCATAGAGGGTCGCTCCGCCAAGTTCCTAGAGCGACCGAGATGGTGCTGAAGAACGGCGTGGCCCGTACTTCCGGTAGCGTGAGAGTCGCCCAGCGAGCTAGGGCGGCGGCCGACTCTGCGCGGTGAGTGGGCTTGGGGCGCGCGGATTTTGCTGGGCCCGTGGGGTGCGCTGGGCCCGTGGCCAGGTGTTCGAGGTCGCACGGGCGCAGGTGGCTGCAGTGGGGCCACGGCGTGACAGACAACTTAGGCCTACGGGCTGGGCCTGGCCGCCAAGCGGGGCGGAGGGAGCGGGGCGGGAGGGCCACGCGGGCCGACGGTCCGGCCGCGGCCTGCGGGGCGGGCGAGCCTGCTCAATGAGCGGCCGGCAGAGCCTGGGGAGGGGAGTGGCCTTAACGGGGGCCCCCGGCGAGTTTTGGCCAGAGACCGGTGGAACCCGGCCCGTGAGCATCAACCTTTGCTCCTTCCATCGTCCGACACATTTTAGGACTAAATATATTGAACAAATACTCTGAGCGAGTTATACATTTTGACTCATTTAAATGTGTAACATCTTGATGATCCTGCTTCCCCATAATCACCAGCCCACTTTTAGTAGGAAACTGAGGCACATTCCAGGTAGCGAGGTTTGCGGGATGAGTAGCTCCTGTCACTCAAGTGTACCGTAGTGCTCGCGTCTGCTGGGGATTTACTTGGAGCAGCAGTCAGAGCCCTGGACTTGGCGTTGGAAGATGTGGCTGCCGACATCTGTTATGCTACTAAGAGTCCAGACTCTGGAATCAGACTGCTAGGGATTGAGAACCTGGCCAGTGTGTTAACTAGTATTGTGCCTTCATTTCGTCACCATAAAATGGAGAGAATTGCATCAAGATGCCGTGAGAATTAAAGCGCTAGCACAGAATAAAATAAGATAGCATAGTGTCTGGCACTTAGGCTTCCTGTTAGTATGATTTATTTCCTCATCTTTAGGTGGATTTGATAGTCCCTGAGTTTCCTGTCCGATCTGACTTACATTGTATTAAAAAAATGCATGTGCTTTTAAAAAAATTTTATGATTACCATTATAGCTGTTTGGTTTTTTTTTTTTTAACACCAGCACGCCACGTACCTAACACAGTGTCTCCTGGGTAGTAGATGTTCTGTAAATATTTGCTTAAGTTAAGGAATAGGTTATGCTCTGTAATTTTGTGTTATGTACAGTTTGCTGTTTCTTATGCTGGCAATAATTAGAGCAGGTATAATTATTAAATAACCACATAAAGTCCTGGCTTAAAGTTTCAATTATACAATAAGATGAAAGAAAGGCAAGAAAAATAATGTTTGTGTTTTCATTTATTTGCTGTATTTGCTTGTATGCAAAGAAACCCAGGGTGATTATGCCTGTTTTAAAATCTACTTTCTGATGCAAGATATGGAAAATAGTTTCAATGACTTTATTATTTTTGCTTCTATTTCTATTTCATAGCTTCTCCCACATTGCCACCTATTTGGAGTTTGTGGGATTTTTATTTGTTTATTTGGGCTATTATTTTAAATAGCCTCAAGACGACTTTGTAGATAAATAAAATTATTTGAAAATTTTAATTTTGCAACGTTTGGGTATTTTAAAAATCCCATCCTTGGCTGGATGCAGTGACTCAAACCTGTAGTCCCAGGACTTTAGGAGGCCAAGGTGGGAGGATTACTTGAGTCTATGAGTTTAACACCATCCTAGGCAACATAGCAAGCCCTCGTCTCTATTAAAAAATAATTCTATCTTTTATGTGTAAACTTACTTTTTCCTCCTTCTCCTTTTGTGGTCTTTTATCTACCATTCTTTTTCTACTCAGTTTTATTCATTATCCTCTTTCTTGGACCATTTGGGTCTAGAAAAAATAATAATAAAGCATTTCTTCTTAGACTAAAAGTAAACCTTCGATTCCTTATAGAGTAGTTTTTACTTTCAAATGTTTTATGCTAGAGAGTTATAGCAAAGTTGTCAATAGCTGTGGGAATAAAGTGGCTAAATAAGGATAAGCAGGAATTTATCATAAGGTAGTATAATTTGTAATTTCCTTCCAACTTAGACATTTTAATAGATAGCAGTGAGTAGAAGTTTAACATAGTAGTAAATATTAAAACATAATGATACTTTACTGCACAATTTTTTATTGTCTGGAGTTATTTCTTCTATTCTTATTAAGATTTCATCTTGTCTTCACTTTTTTTTTTTTTTTTTTTTTTTTTGAGTTGGAGTCTCACTCTGTTGCCCAGACTGGAGTGCAGTGGCCGCTCCCGGCCACCGCAGCCTCGACCTGCTGGGCTCCGGCGATCCTTCCGCCTCAGCCTTCCAAGTAGCCGGAATTACAGGCATGCGCTACCACGCCCGGCTGATTTTTTTTTTTTTTTAATTTATTGTAGAGATGAGGTCTCGCTGCCCAGGCGGGTCTCGAACCCACGGGCTCAGGCAATCCACTCACCTCAGCCTCCCAAAGGCGCGGGATTACAGGCTGAGCCACCGAGCCCGGCTATTGTCTTAACTTTTTAATCTTTCAAAATTATATAGTCATTTGATAATACCAAAAAACTTATATTTCTTATATTTTTAAACTTTTTAAAAAATCTCGTATCAACAGACAAAAACTCCAAAGGTAAATTCAGACAAAATTTTGTGATATTTATTATCTTTCTTTTTTTGAGTTGGAGTCTCACTCTGTCACCCAGACTGGAATGCAGCGGCTACTCCCAGCCACCGCAGCCTCGACCTGCTGGGCTCCAATGATCCTTCTGCCTCAGCCTTCCAAGTAACTAGAACTACAGGCGCGCGCTACCACGCCCGGCTCATTTTGATTTATTGTAGAGATGAGGTCTCGCCAAATTGCCCAGGCAGGTCTCGAACCCGCGGGCTCAGGCAATCCACTCACCTCAGCCTCCCAAAGGCGCAGGATTACAGGCTGAGCCACCGAGCCTGGCTGATATTTATTATCTTAAACTCTGAAATTATTAGAGTTTTCCCCCCAAATTGTCTTTGTTTGCATTCGTATTGCATATATTTTTAATTTAAGTATGAATGCAATTTTGATGAGTGGAAGAAGTATTAAAGTTGACTCACAGATCTTCTTCTATAACTTGTTTTTTAATTTTTTCTTCTGCACACAGAAAATTCTGAGCTGTGTACCTCTAGGAAATGAAACATTAGTTCAGAAGAAGACAGTAGACTCTTATACATTTGGCTGTTCACCATGAGGTTGTCAAAACCTAAAGGGGGTATTTCTCGGAGCTCAAGCCAGGGAAGAGCCTCTGAAAACAAGCGCAAAACAAACCGGCAGCGGCAGAGATGGGGAATGACTGTTCGATTTGATTCAAGCTTGAGTAGACTGAGAAGAAGCTTGGATGACAAACCCTATAAGTGTACTGAATGTGAAAAGAGTTTCAGTCAGAGTTCAACTCTTTTTCAACACCAGAAGATCCATACTGGAAAGAAATCCCATAAATGTGCTGATTGTGGAAAAAGTTTCTTTCAGAGTTCTAATCTCATTCAGCATCGACGAATCCATACTGGGGAAAAGCCCTACAAATGTGATGAATGTGGAGAAAGATTTAAACAGAGCTCCAATCTCATTCAGCACCAGAGAATTCATACGGGAGAAAAGCCCTACCAGTGTGATGAATGTGGCCGATGTTTCAGCCAGAGTTCCCACCTTATTCAACATCAGAGAACCCACACAGGTGAGAAGCCCTACCAGTGCAGTGAATGTGGCAAATGCTTCAGCCAGAGCTCTCATCTGAGGCAGCACATGAAGGTGCACAAGGAAGAGAAGCCACGTAAAACCCGGGGCAAAAATAACAGGGCAAAAACTCACTTGCCTTCTTGGAAAGCTGGTACAGGAAGGAAGTCAGTGGCTGGTCTTCGCTAAGTAAAGGACAGTGCTTTGACCATCTTTTGGGGGGAAAAAGTCAATGTCTTTTAGAAATGGAGGTGATTTACAGTAGATACTTAAATACTGAATCAGTCAGCATGGAGACATTGAGAATTTAATGACATTATTGGACTGAAAAGAAATTACATAAGTCCAGTTGCCCTCATTTCTTTCTTATGCGACATGGAGCACAAAGAGCTGAGAATATATTTTGAGAGACTATAACATCCATGCCCTCATTTGAAATTGCTTCTTGCATCATTCTGACAAAAACCGTCATGTTTTATGACACATGTGAAAGTTCAGGCATGCCAATAATTAACTCAATCTTAGGACTTTCTATGGAAAAAATAATTAAATAAATGAGAGAAGAAATTAATTCCATTAGTTTTGAAGCACTGCAGCAGATGAGATTTTACTTTTTGTAAAGTTTTGTAGTGTGTTAACTATTGGTTTATAAATATGACTCAGCTCAACATATTAAAATGTATCCAAGTTCACAGATTTTTAGTCAACAAGGCCCATTGCTCTATATTAGTTTTCTTTTGTTTCTTCCCTTCTGTGTATGGACAGTTGTTAACTAAAGAAGTAGGAATTTCCCTGGAGGTTTTTTTGTTTTGTTTTGTTTACCAAATTCTTAGTAAGAGGTACTACAAAACCCAAAGTGAGAACTGAATTAGACCTCAAGTCTTCTATTTTTACTAATACTTTTCTCTGAGATGGTGTAGATACTGTGTTTTTTGTTTTCTAGAAGTTGGGATAGATTTGTTGATCCATTCCCATGCCCTTGACCTCTGTTGGCATTCTCTTGTGTTCTGACAAACAGCCAGCTTTTTAGAGCTACATGAAAAAATAAACCATATATAACCAACAAAAATCAGCTTGCTTCTTGCTCATTAAAAATCTATAATTTACATGCCTCCCTGCCTTCAAGTCTGTGAGCTTTAGATAACCCTGCTTATCTTACATGTTAATTAATAACAAAAGTCATTTAATGTACATGTCAGTGCATTGTAGCTCCTTTGAAATTTAACTTTTTTTGTATTACGTGAATTTAAGAAATCTAGCAAATATGTTTTTTAACTTTCATCATAATGGTGCCAAGTGTCAGACTCTGATCAGCCTTCAACTCAGGTTTTAATTTCTATTGAATGCTAACATTCTTCTGATTTTTTGGTATCTTTTATAATCATATCGGTTCCTGCTGTATTAATGACAATTCATAAAAATAAAAATGAGATATTTTGCATACTTTTCTGTTTATTTTTCTCCTGTGAAATTGTCCTAATGATTTAGACAATAGATCTAAAAAATCATAGCTTTTGGAAGAATCACTTGCCTGGTTTTTTTATTTCCTCAGACTTGAATTTTACCTCCCTCTTCGGCTTGCATTTGAGTATAGGATCATAGAAGATGGCCTTGTTGACAAAGTTTCATTTAACAGGATATTCTCAAAATGTTTTGTAAGTATAAGGTGATTACAGTTGTCTTTTACAAAAGACTTAATCTTTGACCTCTCTGTTATAACCAAGTCACTCTTTGACAGGCTTGTGGCTCTGGAGCCCTTTTAAGGATCTACTATCAATGTTATTAGTTTTAATATCTGAAGTAGCTTCTGGACCAACACCGTTTGCTTAAATTTTGTGGATGTGCCCATTTTGACAGCAACTATAGGGCCATTCACAGGAGTGATATTCAAAGTAATTAACCAATATGCCTCTCAGGACACCAGGATTGCCACAGTTCAGTCTCTCGTGAATTCTTACTCTTCACTATTGAGCACGGGGTTGCATTACCCTTCCTCTGCTGTGTTTGGGATGTGTGGAGAGGAGTGCAGACACAGGATCTTTTTGATTAACAGGGCTCTGAACCAATAGGAGATAGAGCCAGGCCTGACCTGGAGATGACCCAGAGATCTTAGATTTTCAGATTATAGTAGTGACTGTAGGATTGGGGGATGCCTTCCTTGGAGAAAAAGTATGTTGTGTGTGGAAGAAGTGGAGGAAAAGGGATATTTGGTGAGCAACTTCCCAAGTTCTCCCTTACATTTCTTAGCACCCTTTGAGAAATAACTAGTTCTGGGCATTTGACTTAGTGATGCTTTTAAAATCTTTTGTGGTTTTCCATGCCCTCATTTCCCAGGCCATAGTAGAGAGGACATTCCAGGTAGTTGCTGAGCCCCTTGCCAACCTGCCTTGAACATATCATACGAGTGAGAAATAAGCTGTTGAATTTGGCCTCCAAGATTTCAGAGTGGATTTGATACTACAGTATAACCTGAATACACATAAAGTTTTACAAAGAATAAATAAATGAGAAATGAATAAAATTCAGGAATTCAAGAAAGACATGAAGTTTCATTTCATTTAAATGAAACTTCTGAGATTAATATCATCCTTAAATTCCAGCGAGTCCCCAGTCACATCTTTATATTCAGAGCAATCTAAATGGGTTCCCTAGGATATAAGAAGCCTCTCTATTCAGAGGGATTAAAGGGCTAGATAAAAAAATTTAAGCAGATGACTTAGGAGGCAATATATTGATTTGGGGACAAAAAGTTATGAAGAGAACAAGAATTCAGTTAGGGTTCACATTTCTAATATGAAGAGTTTTAATATAGCTAATCAGACTTTACTATCTCTCTGTTACCTTCATGTTTCCTTTTTGCCTGTTCAGTTCACCAGTTTGTGTTTAACCTTGTACCTGTATTCAGTTTTCTCTATTAAAATAATTGGTCTGGTTTGTCATTTCCTGACTGGACTCTTGGTTGAAACAATAATAGTAAGAGAGACAAAACTAAAATTACAAGGACCTACAATTTCTTATGTATCAAAGTGATCAAAAGTGTATAAACCCCGCGCCATTGGGAGGCTGAGGTGAGTGGATTGCCTGAGCCCGCGGGTTCGAGACCTCATCTCTATAATAAATCAAAAAATCAGCTGGGCATGGTAGCGCATACCTGTAATTCCGGCTACTTGGAAGGCTGAGGCGGAAGGATCACCAGAACCCAGCAGGTCGAGGCTGCGGTGGCCAGAAGTGGCCACTGCACTCCAGTCTGGGCAACAGAGAGACTCCAACTCAAAAAAAAATGTATAAACCCTATTCTGCTGGGGAGACTAGAAAACCAGCCAAAGTCACACACTGATGGTGGGGGATACAAAATGTTAACAATCCTTACTAAGGATCCTATAACATGGAAGTTATGTTTCTAGGAATCATTCAAAGATACAATACCAAAAATATGAAATAATATATAAACATGACAGCACAATTTTAGAGAAAACACTCTAAAACATTTTTCACTATAAGGCATTTGGCTGCAATGTAAACATATCATATACTCAAGAATGGGCTTACTTTTCATGATACCGTCATAATTTTGCTTGTTCTGTAATAGGACCACACCTGCCTTTTCAGACCCCAGCTTGCCTTGCTTCCTGCTGGAATCAGAGACAAGTTTAGTAAGTGCTCTTGAGGAGATTGCCACAACTGATGCAAGCCAGCAGATTAAATCCCCAGGCTCAGAACTATTTCCAACCCAAGGAGACACTATAGACAAAGGAGATAGCTACACTAAGTCTTCATTGACCTAAGGGCAAGGACTTTTTACGTTTTACATTACATAAAATAGTCACTGGATGGCGCAAAGGAGACATAATGGAAGGCAGCCTGTACTGCAGTTTCTCTGCATTCAACTTGTACAGGTTGAGTACTCCTATCTGAAATGCTGGGGGTCAGAAGCGTTTCAGACTTGGGATGTTTTCTGGTTTTGGAATATTTGTATATACATAATGAGATATTCTGGGGATGAGACTCAAGTTTAAACATGAAATTCATGTGTTTCTTATGTACCGTATATACACGTATGTGGCCTGAAAGTGATATTTTTAATAATTATGTGCGTGAAACAAAGTTTTGACTGCAAGCTGTTACATAAGGTCAAATGTGGAATGTGCCACTTGTGGCAGTATGTCAGCACTCAAAATGTTTTGAATTTTGGGTTTTTGATTAGGGATGCTCAACCTGTATTTTCCTTTGAAAATACCATGCCACATTCCTTTCTCCTGACCCCAAGTTTTTAGGAAAAAAAGAAAAGAAAAGAAAATGCCATACTCAAAATGTTGAAAACTTGAGACTACTCTTTACAATAAAGTGGGATTCAGTAAAATATCTTTGTGTATGCTAACATAATTTCAAAAGCTGAGCACATTTTAGTCAAATTACCTGAATGCCATTTCCATTTTCACTGTAACTTAGATATTAAATAGCTTACAAGACATGAGGGATAACTAAGCCTCTTTCATATCCTGTTACAAAAAGAAAAGAAATCATCCAAAGTGTTCACTAAACGGATCACAGTTATTTTCTCTGCTTCTCTCTTGCTTTCCTCTACTGCCAGCTTCTTGAAAGATGTGTCTATATTTGTCTTCACTGTTTCCTTACCTGATGTTCTTCCCTCAGTCCATTCCCATCAAGCTTTTACTCACCAAAAGCACTCTCTCCAGGGATTCTCCATGAAAGTCTATGCAGAACAGTGGCACAGGCCATTGAGAGCCTGGCTGGAATGCAAGGGCAGGACTCCTGGGGAATGGAATGCAGTTGTAGAGACTGATGCAGGAGCTTCAGAGTTGGGAGAACACTTTACTTTTCAGAGTTATATGCTGTTTGTACTTATTATATGCATACCTTATGTTTACAATTGATATATAAGTTTAAACAAATTACATTCCAGTTGCAAAACAGAGGTTAAGGGACAGCCTGGGAAAACAGGTGAGGGAGTCCCAGAACAGTACTTAGGTGTTTTCTCATCTTTGTCTGGTGGATAAGAAGTCCTCAGTATCATTGCATTTCATAAACTTGCCATCTCATTTGGTATTTATTCTTATAATTCTTTCCCTGGTGCTTTTCTTCTCCCCCACTTCCAAGAGGCTGATATGTATCACAGAGCCTATGTGTGTGAATGTCTTTATGTTCAGCAACTGAGCACATCTGGGGTGGGAATGAAGGATATAAGAGGCAATGTGATCTCAGAAAAATCTCTGAATTGGAGTGATTAGTCCTGAGGTCTAGATCCAGTTCTGCTGTGGAGTATCCACATGGCCTCAAGCAAATTAGTTTTTTCTTTCTGGTCCTAAGACTACTCATCTATCAAATGAAGCCAAGTTGACAATCAAGAAACCAGTTGTTTCAGTTATGATTCTACATCTGCAAGCTACTAAAACTAACTTTGACTAACCAAAGTAAAATAAAAAGAAATAAAGATGACTGAAGAAAGGACTGAACCATCAGGTCTTTAGAAGAGTGGGAGCCCAGGTATCTCAAGATTATGTGTGGGCTCTTCAGAAGACTACCAATAGAATTTCTCAGCTCTAGCTACAACTTGCCTGATAATTGTGATGGCAGAGCTTCTTTCTGTCTTTAATGTGTGTATTTTGCAGTGGGAAGGAGTAACGTCAATGCCAAGAATAAGAAAGAAAGGCAGAGATGGAGAGAAGACAAAGCACATACACGGGCGGGGGGGGGGGGGAGGAAATGGAACTTATATTCTTGAAATGTATAAATTGACTCTGGAGGAAACTTCCAAATTAGTGATCTAACAATATTTTGAGTAATGGTAGCATTGCAATGAACACATAACTTTCACATATGACTACTTTGGGGAAAAAACGATAATTTGTCTGCATATATGAGTGTTCGTAGTTTTAATCAATTCTTACAAAAAATACCATCACACGTTCACATTTATTGAGTCAGACCTTCAAAGGACTTCCACTAAGTGAATAATATCAACTCAGAAGTAATAAAACTAGAATTCCAGGCATACCTCATAGGTACTGTGAGTTTGGTCCCAGTCCACCACATAATAAATCACAATGAATTGAGTCACATTCATTTTTTTGGTTCCCAGTGTATATAAAAGTTATGTTTCCACTCTACTGTAGTCTATTAAGTGTGGAATAGCACGATGTCTAATCAACAATGTGTATACCTTAATTTAAAAATACCTGAAGCAGGACTGGATTTAAAAATGTGGTACATATACACAATGGAATATTGTGCAGCCATAAAGAAGGACAAACATATGGACATTGCAGCAACTTGGATGGATTTAGAGTCTATCGTACTCAGTGATCTATCACAGAAACAAAGAACTGAGTACCATGTGTTCTCACTCATAAGCAGACCCTGAACAATTATCATAATACTATGAGAAGGGGATTGGTGGTAGTGGGAAACTGCCAGGGGAGGGTGA